ATAAGATCTGCGCAGCCTACTCCTACCTCAGAATCTAGCGCATGCGCAGAACGGTCAATACATCTATCATCTGTCTCACTTCATCGGCGGACAAACCGCTCATGGGAAGTATACGAAGCAAGCAATATAGGAGTATTACATATATGGTTTCGGCCATGACAACCTACAACAAAATGGCGGCGGTGCGTGTATAACAGTATGATCAGTAACACCGAGTAGCGAATGTGCTACTCGGTGTAGTGATACAGGTAAAGTAAAAAAGTACCATCGTAAACGTAACATCACTGTGTAAACATGCCGAGCTCTTGTTGCATTCCACAGTGTAAAAATACCACAAAAGATGGATTTTATTTATTTCGGTAAGTCGGATATTTATTTATACTTCTAAGTTGAAATATTTTAAGGTTATGTAAGTAAACAGTATAAATATTGTAGATTTCCATTAAATCGCTCGAATATTTTACAACTGTGGATTGCAACAATTGGAAGAGACGATTTTAAACCTACAAAATACAACTTAATATGCAGTACACACTATCAAGAAAATGATTTCATCCCAATGCAAATGGTGTCCGGTTGAATAATCTTGCTGTGTTTTCAATATTTTGTGCTATGCTAGATGGAGCATAAATAAATATGATTAGTTGTTGTTGTGCGCAAGCGCAATGTCATACTTGAATTGTACGAAAGCAACGAGAGCGCGGAAAAAGATACGCAAATTAACATATATTTAATACATAATATATTCACAATATAAATAAATAATTATGATGCTGTGCTGTGTCTCAAATTGTCGCAATAGGTCAGACAATCACAATTGGAAACAAACTACCAATACAAACAAAAATAAAAAAATTACATTTCACAGGTGTCTCTTTGCTAACTAAAGAACTCGCACTGCAGGTGACACAAGACACACACAAAAAAAAAGAAGAAACGCAATTAAACTGGTAGATAATAAGTATAATGTTACTGAGAAAATAATAACTATGTACACTATTTACAATTTGTTATTAATTTGTAGATAGCCACGACTTTGTGAGAAAAAAGGAATCGGCAAGCGACCGAATGTGTTAATTAGCAATGAAAAAAAAGGGAAGGAAATTTAGCCAGCGAGCGACCGTCTAATTTCCTTGACTGCAAAATGCTATGCGAGATTTGACTTGCGCGTCACGAAAGAATAGGGGTTTCCTGAATCTGTACTGGCTTTATATACTATTTTTCTTCTCGAAGGTTCCTTTTGTTTTTTCATGAAACGGTCTGCGTGATTTGCACTTTTTGAGGGTGCTTCCAGAAAACGAAGCATGTTTTCTGCGAATCGGGATCGCCCGTTCGCGCAGACACGCATGTGTTATCGCATAATAGGCTGCCCCGCGCCGCGGGGCACTTTGCGATTGGTTTGTGATCCTGCGCAGGTACATTTCCCTTATCGCGACGTTAATAGGCGCGCTGCCTGCTGCGCAGCGCTCATTTCTGCGCCGCAAAGAAATTTAAAAGCGCTCGCACCGCGCTTGGTGCATATGCTTATCTCAGACAACAGGTAATAAATTTGTGTGTTATTTTAAAATAATAGTAGTCTAGTTTTAGAAAAGGTGTTTGATAATTTATTTGTAGTCACATTTAGTTTTCCAAAAAATAATACTCGCAACTTGTGGAAAATAGTGTTATTTTATAATATATATGTTTTATAATATATATTTTGTATTTTATAATATATATTGTTGTTTTATAATATATGTATTATAATATACGTATTAGTAAATTTAATAATATAATATAAGACATATATATCTTATAATAGTTACCCTTACGAAAAAGAACTACTGGAAGTAATATATTGCGGCAGTGGTACAAAAAAATTACTGGCATTCTGTGTAATTGACAGTAATATTTTCAGTGATTCCTGTAATGCCTAATAATATTCTTATGTGATTGTCAGTAATATTTATATTACTGACTTTATTTATATGTAATCGACAGTAGTTCTTTTTCATAAGAGTATTTAATGTCTTTTTTATATTTTATTTACTGCAATTATTAACATTATATTAATTTATGTGCTCTATTGTAAAATTTAGTGTATTTTTTTTCTTTTTAACTTACAAACGCATATGTTGAATTTATAACACAAATATATATTTTTATAAAATATATATATACGTATAACATTTATTTTGTCTGTTAATTAACATTATAACAGAATAGCTTTTATTCTTTTTATATTAATTATTTTTATTTTTTTTATATTAATTATTTGCTGACAATTGCCAAATCACTTGTAATCCAACTTGCTGTGCGTAAGATAATTTGAAATCTGTCAACCATAGGTGCTTTCCAACTACGTACACAGGCGACACTGTGGCTGCTTTCCTTTTAGGAGACACAGTCGACACAAGTCGACACAAAAGTCATTCTGTCTTTGTTTCTCACTGAATACTGAACGAAGACAGAATGACTTTTGTGTCGACTTGTGTCGACTGTGTCTCTTAAAAGGAAAGCAGCCTGTGTAACTTTGTGTACACTTCGGTGCTTTCCAACTACGACACAAGTCGACACAATTGTACACAGCTACAATGCTGTGTGTTCAACCAGAGAGAAGCCTGAGAGCGGCCATGCCATTGTAGTATTTTACGACGGTTTCAGCCGCTGGTTTTAGCCGTATTTCCACAAAAGTGGAACTCAAAGGCCGTTCTACATTAAACGCAAGTCTTAGATCTCGTGGAATTGACCAATAGCAGAGTCAAATCAGCCAATTGACTAACGTGATTGATCAGTTCCACGAGACCTGCGACTTGAGTTGGCCGCTCTCAGGCTTCTCTCTGGTTACACTGACCTAGTTTTCACCGAAGCGTTAATTCACACCTAATGCGGTGTAGAATCAAATTTAAGTCGATGGAATCGCGTCAAATTGCGCTTATTTCACTTTCACTTTGATCTATAAGGTTTATCGGAGTGGCAGCGAATTGACGTAAAGTTTTAAGGCCTGTTCTACAATACAGTCGTAAGCTGTAAGTCGTAAGAAATTGACCAATCACAATCGATTATTCTTCTGTGATTTATCTGTGATTGCTCTATTTCTTGCAACTTACAGCTTACGACTGTATTGTAGAACAGGCCTAATCGGTGGAAACGTTTGAAACTAAATAATGGGTGTGTTTAGCCGAAGTTAGCGCTACGTAGCGCTACGTAGCGGCTTCATGTAGCAGTTGCAAGTGCTGCGTTACTTCTATAGAACATGCTGCGCGTAGCAATACTGTCCAGCAGAAGTAACGCAGCAATTGCAACTGCTACATGAAACCGCTACGTAGCGCTACGTAGCGCTAGCTTCGTCTAAACACACCCAATGCCAACCTCTATTTTTCATTATGTCTGCATTATGTCGGATCTTGGCATAGAGCTAGTTGGGTTGCATCAGCCGTACCGGTTGAATGTGCGTAGTTACGGTGCGAATATTTTTGGACAATTTTCGGTGTTTTACACCACTTTCTTTATTGTTATCTGTTAATTTAAACCAGTATACAACTCCGTGGCTAGGCGTCAGGAACCCTATCCACGGTTTTAAACCTATCATCAAAAAGACGTAGAATGGCGTATGGACTAGCTTTGTAGGTCCACTGAGCCAAAAGAGCACCAAAACCAAAACCTTGGCATAGAGCTTATACTCATGGAGTAGCCCTGCCTATATGCTAACCATAGAGAGGGCCGCGCCGGCAGGATCGACAAAGAGAGATATATTTGGATATATTTTGTCTCAACTGTGGCTCCCCCACTCCGTGTTCTCTGTTATTCTCTTCTATAAAAAGTGGCCACAATTGAAACAGAAAAATATATTTCTCTTTGTCAATCCTCCTTGCGCTCGCAGGGCCTCTCCATGAGTATAAGCTCTATGTGTCTTGGTAAGAAGTCGATGTAAGTTAAAAATAAAAAGATAAAATATATGATTGAATCGTTTCCGCGGAGTCAATTAGAGGTTTCTCGGATTATATTCTTTCCAGGTTATGTCTGTTTATATTTACACAAGCGAGTTTTAAGTTGGCTCTACTGAAATATTAATTTTTCTCATTTCTATTCTACTTCCGATGGAAACGGAACACTAAATTTGATCTGTACCGGAGTGGAACCGAATTGAGTGACACAGTGGTCTAGTTTCCTCCGAAATCCTCAACTTCGGTACAGATCAAATTTAGTGTTCCGTTTCCATTGGAAGTAGAGTACTTATAGATCAAAGCGGAAGCGAAATCAGCGCAATTTGACAGGTTTTCATCGACTTAAATTTGATTCTACGTCGCATTAGATGTGAATTAATGCTACGGTGGAAACTAGACCAGTGTATGACAGTGTTCCGTTGTTGGAAAACACCCCATCTGAAAGGTTAAGCAGTATTGAGCATACACACAATCGCAGCACAATAAAAATTAGGCACACCTGCCCCTCGCATTTCGGCTTCACTTCTCTCGCCTATATTCTGGGTCTATGCTCCGTCCCTATATTCCTATGTCCATGATCATACCACCTACAGCGCTGCCAGTAACTTTTCCACTATTATACATAGAAATATTTAAAATTATTCAAAATTTCCTATGATTGAACCCAAAAAAAACTTTAAGATAGTTTTTTGAAAAAGTATTTATTAAGTTACTAATTTAAATACATATTTTGGGTTCCAAAAATTAAAACTTAATTTAAACGATTTACATTTAGCATATGTATTAAGTAATATTTGGAAAACATATATATATGTATTTATAGAATGTTTATAGCATTTATAAATATTTAAAAATATTGCAACATAGTAAGATAGATATATTATACTAATATTACAAGTTCAGAGCCACATATAAAATGCTAAAAATAAATACATATATAACAAATTAGTGTATTATTACATCTATCACCATAAAGTTTCAAGTCTTCTATTTAATTCTAACTTTTATAATTAATTTTTATATTTAGCATTTTTTTGGTAAGTTCAAATGATACACAGCCACCTTTTTTTTTATGCCTGCACTGGTCGACATAAGAGCTACTATAGTTTCTGTGTTCAAAGTGTTTTGATCATTTTTAATCTTTTTAAATTGCTAAATACTCGTTCAACGGAAGCATTTGAAATTGGTAATACTAAAAACAGTAAAATCACTAGATTTAAATTTGGAATATTTTTGTGTCTAAATGAGTTTTTAACTGAAAACCAGTTAGGCCCGGTTTCACAATTGACGGTTAACTCGAATTAACGGAAGCCCAACTTGCTGAACTCGGCGTAACGCATCTTTTCTTCCTAAACATGAACTGTGATTGGTTAGAGAAGATTTGACAAAGAAGATTGAACGCGTTAAACCGAGCTCAGCAAGTCGAACTTCGGTTAATTCGAGTTAACCGCGAATTGTGAAACCGGGTCTTAGAGCTAGTCCATACGCCATTCTATATACGCCACAAAATGATGTACACAGCGCGTCATTGAATCGCGGAATAGACGCGGGGATTGGGGGGCAAGCGCGGCAGTTGCTCGTAGCGTCAACGAGCGCCGTACGAACTAACTAGTAGCAATCGGTTATCCACAACTACTTCGTGTCGATAATGTAACTGCTCTTCCTTCCTATTTTCTTCTCAAAACGTAAAAGTATTGGCCATTTACTTAATATTTAACGTTGACAAATAACATATGTATGTGTATATATGTGTTTAATAGATGAATCTATAATGTCTCCGGTATATATATGGAAGGAACGTATATTGTAACAGTCTCGTTTAAAACAACATATATTTAATATTAATATTCATATGTAGCCACTAAATAAATATAATTCTATTATATTATTATTTTATTCTATTATATCTATATATATATTATTGTGTATACAATTAAATATATGTAAAACTCGAAACATTAAAAAATGAATAGGGCAAACCGTATATAAATAAGATGAAAAAATTATAACAAATAGATATATGCCAACAGTTGAATAAGCTTATGAATAAGCTCATAGTCACTAAAGTTTATTCATATAAAAACAAAATCGCTGTGAAACAATTTGATAATATATAAAAATAACTATATACGTATGATACATATTACCAGAGAGAAACCTGAGAGCGGCCATCCTTATGTAATTTTTTACGACGGTTTCAGCCGCTGGTTTTAGCCGTATTTCCACAAAAGTGGAACTCAAAGGCCGGTCTACATTAAACGCAAGNATCAGATCTCGTGGAATTGACCAATTGCAGAGTCAAATCAGCCAATCGACCAACGTGATTGATCAGTTCCACGAGACCTGCGACTTGAGTTTCATNGAGAACGGCCTTTGAGTTCCACTTTTGTGGAAATACGGCTAAAACCAGCGGCTGAAACCGTCGTAAAAAATTACAATAGGATGGCCGCTCTCAGGTTTCTCTCTGATATTACATATACATATACATATAATAATGTTATATACATATTATACAAGGTGTCCCAGAATTGGTGTGACATGTCT